CAATTATTAAACTTTTTATCTCAACCCACGAGTTTTTCTCACTTGTGCTCTTCCAATTCTCTCCCCCATCCCACCGGGCAGCGAGCGGCTGCGTGGTGCTTAGTTGCCGACTGAGATTAAACCACGACAGTGATGAATAGAGAAAAGGTGATAGTCTTCGCCACTTAATTGTTGGCTGTGGAATGAATGAATGTTCAACTAGTTCTACACATCTGACCAGTTCACTTAGTGAGGCAAAGTTATGCCTTTGTGTCCTGCTTAAGTGTCTACTTTAACAGCTACCAGATATTAAGGTTGCTTTTACGGAAAGGAATTAGGGGTTGGAATGTAGATGAAGCAGACAAATACTCTATGTACAACTTAAGAAAGCCTTTGGTACAGGCTTTGGCACCCCAGTCATAAAAAATTGCTATTCTGAACAGAGAAGAAACTGTAAAAGACAGGGTAGAGCACTTTGCAGCAGTTGTACAAGGCATAATTTATACAGCTGTACTTTCTGGAGAATTTCGCTTTGGGACAGGGAGAGGAAAACTCTCTTCTAGCACGTATCTACATTACGAAGGGAATTCAGGGCAAGCATGTGTAAATTAGGGCCAAGTTAGTGCTGGCGCTGGACCAGCATCATTGGGGCCATGCAGGCCTGCCAGCTGAGGAGCTACCAACTGGAGCTAGTGTCATAGCACAGCACAACGGCAGCCACTTCTGAGACCGCTACCTCAGATCTGCTCAACCCCAGGCACCTCAACCAAACCTTTCTAGAAATGCCTTTTTTCTACAGCACAACCGACTTGTCTGAATTAGAACATGTGCAAAGCACTAGATGTGTCTGTCTCGATAGTTTCATTAAGTTACCGATAAATGAACTTTAAGGAATAGAAATTAGTATTTTTCTCGTTTCTGTGTGGGAGAGAGGCTGGCAACAATGGAAACGGCTGAGAGCTCTGAGCGTTTTCATTGGCAAGTCTGTATTTATTGTCTGTGTAAGGGAATATGCTCTTCTGTTCAATGTTAACATTTCAAACATAAACCATGTGAGACAGGTACATGACTAACTACTTACAAAGTCTGGTATGAAACTACCACCAACCCAGTGGTAGTTTTATATCAGAACTCCAAAGACGTGGGTTAAGAGGCACGGTGTCTAAAATAGAACAGTTTTAATTGATTCCTCTGTCAAAAGTAGTTTTTCTCCAAAATATGCAGAAATGTAACTGTTCCACGCAAAGCTTCTTGCCAAGTCTGCAGACTGAAACCCAGCCATTTAATTTTGTAACAGAAGGCCTTTCTTTCTGCGTGAAACGCAAACATCAGAGCAATCTTGAACTACAGAGTCATTACTGATACCTCCATAATAAACACATTTCAGATGACAAGCACTGGAATCCGTAGTTAAATCGTGCAACATAGTGAGTATTAAAAAATAAAATCTAAATACTTACTGCTGTGTTTGCATCAGTGGCATACTGGTATTATCGTAGCTGTCTGTGTGAAGGGGCGGTACGATCTCACCAGTAACTGGGTGAAACACGGGAAGCGTTGAAAGAGGCCATGCTATCTCTCTATTTTTAGACATGTCACGAAGCTCTTTGGTTGATTTCTGTATAGCACTGTGGTGGACCAACTGGATGCTGTGTCAAAAGGAAATAAAATAGTAAATACGTATTTTAAGTGCTCTAGCAAAATGGATAGACTTTTACAATTATTATTTTTCTTAAAAATACAAGGACTTTGATGTATGCTACAGACTCTATAGTGCAGCAATTACAGTAAACCTTTACACAGTTAATTTAATAAATATTGGATTTATTTAATTTTTAAGGCTGTAATTGTTCCATTAGATTTTGCTGTCTGGATAAGTATTTTTCGTAGGATCCAAGACTGTGCAATTTATGGCTAATGTTCCATTTATTTGCTGCAGTTAAAATAAAAGTTTTGGTTAACTCCTGATTCTTCTGGTAGATTCATATAAAATCCTAGATTAATTTTAAAACACTCCCACAGTACAGGCACCGGATACCTTCCAGGATATTTGTTCCTGTCCACTGCCTTTAAGATAGAGGCTGGGAAGTCCAATAACCAGGAGTATAAAGCACATATTAACACAGTTATTCTAACAGCACTATTTTATTTTGTATTGACAGCCGTTAATTTCAAACCCTTTTTATTCTGGTCTTCTATCCTTGCCAAGACTCTGATTTAAAAGCAGCTTTCACATTTATGAATTAAACCATGGATTAGAGAGAATGAAAGAAGATTATGACACACGTGTATGAAGCATGACAAGCTACTGAGAATGAAAATTAAATGGTAAAAGAAAAATAACAGGAAAGAAGACACTTACTCTGGTGTTTGCATGTTTCTCTTTTCCCTAAAAACAAAACAAAATTTATGAATTAAATAATAGCATTGATAGTTGGAACATTAAATCTATCTGATGATGAAAATAGTACATGATGTAGAAATGCTGACAAGGTTATTGCTAAACGCAGCTTGGCAGCATTTGCAACTGGGTTTATGATGAGGCCTCGATGAACGCACGTATAGAGATGTGATACTGATGAGACACACACACAGATGCACACACAGAGAAATGAAAATGCAAGTTAAAGAACAAGCTTCTGGCTAAAATAAATTCTGTGACAAAATGAAATTGTAGTTTGTGTAAGAAATGGCAGAAATTACGTTACTTGCTGCTTTCCTTTTATGTGGTTTTCTTTTATAATATGTTCAAATTCAGTTCATGTCCTCAACAAAATTTATTTTATAGAAGTTAGCATTTTAGAAATTACTTAATGTTTTCCTCAATCAATGATCCTTTATTAGTATTTTATTTGTTTGGGGCATTCTGAAGCGTTGTGCTACATGGAGGTTTTGTGGAGTTTTGTGCATATGTTGAGATTTTTACCCTTTCAACCGGAACAGTTAAAGGCCCTATATCCATTCTCTTGGCAATTACTGTATGTGCTTAGATGAGAAATAGTCCAATATTTCAAGCAGATATCTTTTTGGCCTGTTTTAAATGTTTTTAATGAACTGAACAGAATTCTTCCAACAAATAGTCTTCTACGCATTATAGTCTTAGAAAAATCTACAATTACTTATTAGCGTGTTAAAGTACTCACACTCCTTCCCGTCGGCAGCACATGATATAGGCAAGTATTAGAAAAAGCACCAGTGCTATTGCCGAGGGCACTGCCAGTGTAACTAGGAAATCCGAGAAATAGTCTCTGCTTTTCAGTGTATCAGAAGGTGGCTTGTATTCTCCACCATCAGGTAATATCCCCTCTCCACGAATCACTTCCTGAAAGGTGGAAACTTGTTTTGTATTGTCAACCTGATACCCAGAAAAAAAAAGAAGAAAAAAAGAAAAGACAATTATATAGCAAAGTAACAGTGTAAAAACAGGCAGTATTTAACCAGCCATAACAGATAAAAGTATCCATATTACACATTTGACAAATTCTATACAATTTCATCCAATCACTTTTTTTTAACCAATAAAACCTTACATTTTGTTGAAAGCTTCTGATCAATGTGATAAGTAATATCACTTTATTACTTTATCGCATCATCACACTATTACTTTCTTTTGTGCCTACCAGAGATACTATGTTTTTTACAGATTAATTTTAGGGATGTCTCACACAAATAGTATTTGAGTAAAAATTCAGTAAACATATTTATTGCAAACTAATTTTTTGATAGTGATTTCTTTTTGATGAATTAATCCATTTCTTACTAGTCTTCCTAAATAACAATACTGCCCTCTCTTGTTTGAAGGTGGTTAAGGTGAAGAATGGAGTACCTATGGATTTTCCTCCTCCTTCTTCCTATTGAGCCTCACATCCACTGCTCAAAAAAGCAAGAAGCATGAACTGAGCTGCTGAGGACCGAGCAGCTCTGTTGCCTCCCCCACCCACCCGATGCAGGCAGCACCCCGACATGAGATGCGCATTTCGTCGATCAGAGCCAGAGTTCCAAGGTTCTTCTACCTCCTAATTCAACTAACCACCAGAAGGCTGCATTCCTGGTCACAAGTAATATTTTATTTATTTTTTTATGTCTGTATCTAATGTTCCTAGAAATACAACTTTTTGATACCAAATTTCCTATTGCATTTAATTGACTGCCTTTCCTACATGACACTTCAATTTTCTGCCTCCATTTTCTTGGTATCTTCAGTTAGCTACTACTGTTACATTTTATCAGTGTTAGTTTTAAAACTCTCTCCAGATCATTAGTGAAAATGAATTATATTTGCCTACATGCTTGACCTTTTGCCTGACTGTTCATTGAGAAATCTTGCAACTGATGGTCATTTCTTTATAATTTACACTTTAAGTCACAAAATGCTGTATTAAAACTTATGCAATGGATGAACAGGTCTTCATGGAATGCTAGAAATAATGTTGTGTTGAGCTTCAGATGCATACACATGTATATATAAGTACAAGACAGTTTGACAAAAATTAATTTATGTATTCTTCACTCATTAAATTCTGCAGTATATTTTATGTTATGAATTCTACCTGTCTGCTTAGCTGAATCTCAAGCCCTAAGCAAATGCACAAAAAAGATATATGCAGCTACTGATGTGACTGACAGAAGCCCATACACAGTGTGAGAACAAAGCTACCAGAAAGCAGCATTAAGAGGAAGCATGTATTAAGTTGCCCCTCTTTTCAGTATTTGGGAGCCACGGGGTTAAATCTACTCTTTGATTTAGGTGCTAACCGCCAACATCACCTCATAAAAAGTGGGAGGAAGAGGATAGGACGGTTGTATTTTCACTCACTGGTCTCTGTTGTGGTTATGGGAAACGGAGCTCAACTCCCTCCCAGACCATGGATCTTGGGGGACTTCCTGCCCCTTGCCTTGCCTTGCGAAAAGCAGACTGTGATTAGATAGAGGGAAGCGTGGCTCCATTTTCCCTTTGATCCACCAGGTTACAGCATGCAGCAGCAATGCTGTTGGCAACAGCAAACCCCCCAAGACTGTTTAAATTCAGTTATCATGGCATGCTGCCAAAAGAAGTGCCAAGTTCAAGAAGGTTGGGAAGGTTGGGTTACAGGCTGCTATTGAAAATTATGCTTCTCTTTGAGAGCCTGTTCCCGTTACACAATCTCTGCTTTTCTCAAAACAGCACGACAACACTGCTTCATGATTAGTTTATGAGCCACTGTTACTATCGGACGTTTCTTCTGGAGAAGTACTCCTACCCAACTGCTCTTCATTCTGCATAGGTGCTGTTGATTATTCTTGCATTACTGCACTATTCCTCTGCCGCTCCTTTTGAAATTCACCTTGTTTTCTAAAGCTGCTTCTCCAGTTTCTTAAGATCTTTCTGAATTCTATCTTGTCCTTCAATGCACCTGCAGATCCTTTCAGTTTCATGGGGCCTGCAAATTTAATTTAATAAGCACATTCCATCATCCAGCTTATTAATGAAGAATGGCAAGGAATTATTAATAATTCTGCTACGATTATGGCTATCCAACCAGCTCTCCACTAGGTCCTAGCTTCATCTAGGCCGTGTTCCTGAGCTTGCTTATGAGACAGTATCAAAAAACCTTACCAAAAAGAAATGACATCTGCTGCTGCACCTCTGTTCTACTTCTTCCTTGTAGAAGGAAATCAAAGACTTGACATAGTTTGTTCTTGACGAAGGCTGACTGCCTTCTACTATTTTTCAGGTGCTGGTAAGTATTTCTGTGTACACATGTATCTTTTGCAATTTCTCAACAGAAAGCCAATAAACAGTAAATAATCTGCATATTCTTTTGAAAGCAAGTATTTTCCAGCTTTCTAACAGCTTTCCTAATTTATAGTGTATAAAAGAAAGGGTTGGAAGTTATCTAATCGATTTTGTGTATGAATACCTTTTCTCATACTCAATACACTCTTTACATTGTACAAAAAGCCTTTGATATCTCCCTTTCAGTTTCCTCTTGGGTAACGTCTGAAGCAGTTCAACAATCATCTAAGTTTATGTACCTTCACCATCTTTGTTCAAACTTATCTGCAACGTTCTCTTCCAGTACAGTCTTGATTTTCCTTACCAGAACTAAACAAAAATAACCTTAAAAAGCCTCTTTGGGAATTATACTCCTTCCATGGCAAATAGTCTAGTGTTTGGTTATCATTTTTCTTGTATTCGACTGAGAATAATGTTCCCATTTATTTTGATTAGTCCCACTATTTCATTAGTCAATACTATTTTCTTTTCTTTTTCTATTTCAGTTTTAACATGAAATATATTTTAGACAATTTTCAGAAAGATTTTTTTAACAGCATAGAAATACTATTTAACCTGTCAGTGCTGTAGACTCAATATTTGAGAAAACATATATATACACACACACACACACACACACACACACACACACACACACACACACACACACACACACACACACACACACACACACACACACACACACACACACACACACACACACACACACACACACACACACACACACACACACACACACACACACACACACACACACACACACACACACACACACACACACACACACACACACACACACACACACACACACACACACACACACACACACACACACACACACACACACACACACACACACACACACACACACACACACACACACACACACACACACACACACACACACACACACACACACACACACACACACACACACATTTTAGGAAAGCAAGTGTTTTTAGGAAAGCAAGTGTAACTAGCAGTATTAGCATGCTGAATTAATGAACTACACCTACCTAAGTAATTCTCTCATTACTTTTAGTTCTGTAAGCCCTAGAGTTCTCTGGCCATTTATATAAATCACCACTACTGAAAATGAATGTGGTGGTTTCACTGGTGCTAAACTCTAACAGAATTCACCCCACACAGCAAAATCCTTTCACAATCTTAAGAGTGTCTGCTAGATGGAAAACAATGTCCATCAGTCATGATAAAGTGGAATCTGGCAGAGCTGTCTGGCCAGGCTGGCAAAACTCTTACCTAAATCATGTCTGGCATAAAATACTGTACTTCTACAAACATCATTTTTATGCAATAATAAAATAACTCACCAGAGAGATTTTACACCAGTCAATATGGAATTGAGTACGAAATTTTTTATCACAGGTTATTACAGGCTCCATTTCTTGACTGCACCTCAGCTGATTTTGTGGGTTTTCCACTTCTCGTAAGCACGAAGAGAATGGAACATCTGCCCCAACCATAACATACACACTGCAGAAAGAGATGAGTGACAGACCGTCAGGATACCTCTCACAAATCCCCGAAGGACAATGACGTACTCTTCCAAACATTATTATTGTTCACGGTAATATTCAGCTGTGCTTTAAAGACTAAAATTACTAAAATTATTTTTCTTGATAGTATACTTTATCTAAGCATATGAATAACAGACTGAAATCAAAAGGATTTTTCTAGCTACTTATTACAACTTACTCTGTTTTGCTGCATAATGTAAATGTTTGCTCACTGTTATGAGTTGTCAATTTCTATGAAGTCATAGAGCTCCAAGTGTAAGTTCCTCATATAAGTAAATTTGTACTACATTTGAAAATCGCATTAAAGAGTATAATTTTATCTTAAGGAAATCTTCGGTCTTGCTCAGCATAGTATTTTTAAAGTTCTCCCCATGTTTTCAAATAAAATTCATGAGCACTAATTATTTCTAAACCTAATACTAACACGAAGCTGCCAAAGCCCCCAGCTTCTCCTAAAAGATTCCATACTGTAGCTATGCACTGCCAACAAAATTTGCAGAATACCGAAAGCTGAATGTAAACGTAATACTTCATTTAGCATTACAGTACACAAAATAAGAGCTACTGTGCTAATTGTATTATTCATTTTCACATTTAAATTTGTAGAATGCTGCTGGAAAATACAGTCTGCTGTACCAGGTAATAATGTATCAATGGATCCTGAAACACAAATTAGGTCATGGGTGCCGTTTGGTGTATAAGGCATTATCTGACTAAATGTTTGAAATGTAGCCGCTTGTGTTAAGTGGTTCTGCTATTACTCTGGCTAGTACGGAAGTCGCTTTCCTTCTTTAGATGGGCTCAGAAACTCCAGATGCACAAAAGGGCTCTGAAACAACAATCTCTTCTGCACACATCTCGGACTTTGAACCCTCAGCCCTTTCTTAGATATTATTTGACAGAAAATATCTAAAAGTAATTAGGCATCTTTATTTTTGTCAGGGACAAGCACTACCAGAACCATATTTTGAAAAGACTGAATCCTTATTAGTTTCTAATTGAAGTATCATATTTCAGAACAGAATTTATGGTTATGAATCACAACTGGAAGTAGCGCATTCCTGCAGTTTACACTCAGCAACCTAAATTCCCGATACCTCAACTTACCACTTTCAGATGAAAGTCCACAGTGCTCCTGAAGCACGTAACTAAATTTCACCGACTACAGCTACAAATGACGCTGTTACATGCTAAATGCTCTTAGAAATCTAAGTGTCTTTGTAACCTATGCTCTATCACACCTTGTTTCACAATTCTGAGTTTTGTGAGTTGGGAACTATTGAATACTCGAAAAGTATGCCAAACGACTGCTCAGAAGTAAGACTGGAATTACAAAATAAGCGTATTTAATACCAACTGTTTTATAATTAATGGAATTTATTAGTATTCCTTGGATTGTAAAATCAATATATAGCAACTGTCACCTGTTGAAATGGTGTCTAACATGATAAACTCATGGTATAACGGGAGCTCGGAACATCAGTAAACTTTTCATATCTAACACCAATCTGGACTTCCACAATATAAAACAGCAATTGCAAAGTTTCTAGAAAACCTGAAAAAATATTAAGCTTTTCAGTAAGAAAAAGAAGAGTAAAGCAAAAACATTAGACTGACACATGTGCTTACCCCTCTTTCATGTCATTAATAGGAAGTGGAACTCTCCCTCCCCTGTCGAGGGCTGAAGTAATGTTTATAGCGTTCAAGCGTTCTGGCTGCCACACATTTTTCACTGCCCCGAGAAAGTCACCAAGAACTTCACTTGCTAACATTTCTTCTACGTTCATGTTCCTTATGAAGAACTCCGCTTGATATGGTAAAGGAAAATCTAGTTGTGATGAAAAAGGAAGAGTTTTGCCTTAAACAAAGGCTTCATAACAAAGAATTTGAAGTAATGATTAATGTAATACCACTTTAAGATTGATACACCTTTCCAAAAATCTTGTATTTGAACTAGTTCATTTTGAACCTAATGTGATTATGTTTAATTAAATAGTTGGTACTATTAGCTGTTACTTAAGCTGAAAACCATTGGCTATTTATAAAGCAACTGGGAGATGAAGGAGCGGACCAGAGGAGAAGAGTCTCAGCTAGTAAAGCTTCATTAAACAGATAAAATTACATTCCTGCTAATTTGGGGGTCAAAACTGATCTGCAGTGACAATGGATTCCAACCTGCAATACTCCAGACTATAATCATAGAATCATAGAATCATTGAGGTTGGAAAAGACCTCTAAGATCATCGAGTCCAACCGTCGACCCAACACCACCATGCCCACTAAACCATGTCCCTAAGCGCCTCATCTACACATCTTTTAAACACTTCCAGGGATGGTGACTCAACCACCTCCCTGGGCAGCCTGTTCCAATGTTTAACCACTCTTTCAGTAAAGAAATTTTTTCAGTAAAGAAATTTTTTCCATAAATATATAAATATGATGAAGAGAACTAATTTTAAGGACACAAACTATTCAATTTTTTTTAATTGAAATGTCCATAGATGCCATAATCTGTTGTTTTCTGAATCTGCCTATACGATTGTTCTCTGCATAAAGAACATGCAGAGCTCGGCAAACTAAACAACATGCAGAAAGAGAGTAAAATCCTTCATGTAAGGTCCATTTGAAAAGATAGGGAAAAAACCTGAAATTAATTATCAAAAAAGCAAACATGCTTTTTTTTTAATGAATGAGGAATAATAGTCTTACCTGACAGAAATAATTTAGATAAAAATAATAAATTGAAACAAAAGAGGGAAAACTCTTACTTCCCCTTTGTGCCCCCACACTTGGCTTGAACACCAGACAACTATTGTACATTAATTTTTTAATCTTAAAAGAAAAGGAGCCCATAAGATGTTTCTGCTTATTCAGTTCAAAACACAACCAGCTATTTTCCGTACATACCTTCTGCTGACATTATATTAATGATCAAATTATGCCTTGCTGTCTCAAAGGTACGCCTGTTATATGCAGTGATCTAGAGTAAAAAAAAAAGATATTATTGCAAAACAATGCAAATATGAAAATCAGATATATGAAACATCAATGAAAATTAAGTTGATAATTTAGAAATACTTATCACCTTTTAAATGCTTTGCCTCCTTATTTTGAAATGCACAAACATTCATTCAGTCATATAAAATGTGAAAGGTAAGATCAACTTATGTGATGCAGCACTACCTTCAAGTCAGGATACTGGAATTTTCTCGACCAGTGTATAGCCCAATACAATTATCCAAGGGATATATGTGAATATAATACATTTTGGTCCACATAAGAGTGTTCTGCCATACATGTGTATTCTTTCTTTTCTGCTATCTTTAAGAACAACCATAAGCAAAGACTGGTTTCTCCATTTCCCCTTCCACCCTCCACCAATACCGTAAGATCTACATTCATTGATAGCTCCTAGGGAACTAAACTAGATGGAGATATTTAAAGGAAAGAGTGTTGGAATCCCAGCAATTCTAATCTTTGGGATTGGGATTTAGTTTTAGCTCTAGCCCCATTAAAGTCATACTACATGAATGGATTCACAAGCATTGCTCCAACACAAGTAGTTTTTAAAAAAATCATGGAATCTGTAACTGTAGGGGAACTGAAAACTAGTAGGTAGATGCAATGTTCATAACTCTTATTTTTGGAAGCTTACACCAGGGTTGTCAAGCATTGGAACAGGCTGCCCAGGGAAGTGGTTGACTCACCATCCCTGGAGGTATTTCAAAGACCTGTAGATGTGGTGCTTAGGGACATGGTTTAGTGGTGGACTTGGCAGTGTTAGGTTAATGGTTGGACTCGATGACCTTAAAGGTCTTTTCCAACCTAAACGACTCTGTGATTCATGATCAAATTACGTAAGGATACCAATCTTATAGTTTAAATGTATAGGATGCCTGAAATGCTCACAAGTGGTTACTCCTCAGTGGTGTCTGTACTCCGAAGTTGTACCATGATTAAGTGCTCGTTCATAAGAAATACAGAATGAAGCTGGATATCAGTATAATTATGTATTATTTTCTCTACTTTTTTTTTCCTGAAAAAAAGGTGATAAATCTTTCATGAAACAAATTGAAAAAGACTTTCTTCCTAATTTTAGACTTTAGTTGATTCATTTCAGAGACAAAGGAGAGGTAGAGGAGTGGAAATAGTGACAGAACTATGTTGCTTCTCAGCAAACAGAGCTATAAAGCATTGTGACTTTGATTATTAAACAAACAAAATAGATGTTGCACTTATTTTAAGGGATTTAAACGAAAAAGAAAAATGCTCTGGAATATCTTCTGCGGGTTCATTTAAGCGTAGAGGGAAAAGCTTACCTTACACCATTACATCTCATGTAATGTAACAATTTCATTATAAAATTAATAGAAAATGAATTCCTGAGATTTTTCAAATGCTCAATTCTGTTTATTTTTCAAAGGGTTGTTTCAACAGTAGTTTAAACATTAATACTTAGAAAACCTAACTCTCTGGTTGTACAAGCTCTATACAGGAACACGACAGTACCCACTTTGAGTCTGCGTGCCAGCAATAAGAGTTGCCAATGTGGACACGCACCTGTACCAAGTAATAGTCACAGTGGCAGAGATTGCCTCTGTACTGAATATTCATTCAAACACAAACCGCCTTTGCGCAGCTTTCAAAGGAGCTTGAACTCGAGCATGTTACCTGCTCTATTATAGTACTATGCATAATGTTAGGCTCTTCTAATCATGAGGTCTTCTCCAATTAATTGACTTACCCCTGACATCCCCTCAGGAATTACGACATGATCAAAGTTATATTCAGGCCAGGAATATGCAACCACTCCTCTCAGATGGCACTAGGAAGTGGATCAAATGCTATCTGCGCTCTTCACGTACTACAGAATTAATTTAAAAGCCACATCTGAGAGGGGACTGCAAAGAATTAATTTCTATTTAGTTCAAATACAGGCTTGGGGTCATGCTTATAATGGAGGTCTTGATATAGATCCTAGAATCTAAAAGCACTTGCCATCTTAAAAAAGGTCAATTTCAAATAACAGTTTCCTCTACAGAAAGCTAAGTGGAGTCTGCAAGTACTTCTGCACATGATTAATTTTACAGATGTGATTAGTCCTGCTGAAATCAAAACTGAATCATATATATAGAATTAAGCATGGGTGAAATTATCTATAGTATAAGTTAACATTTAGAGATGTCATTCTTGAGGAAGAACAACTATATCAAATTCAATTTAGAAAAAAAGAAACTCATCAAGGGTTTAAGACAAATATACTGCTGAAGCAGCAAAATGGCTGGAGCAAGTTAATGAGCAGATTTTCCTTAACACTGAACCACAGAGTGTCTGATTCAGTCTGCTGTCTATGATATGCATGGTGAAAATATAGTCCTTTTTTCCTTTCAATTGCTGCTCAGTGAATAATTGGCGCTTTTAAATCTTTGGATAGCCAATTGTCAAAAATAAAGTAGTGGGTTTTGTCACTGTTACACTTACAAGAATAGAATTAAATACATGTAAGTGCTAATTAAAATTAAATCCATCAATAAACATGAATAATGAACCAGATA